TTTGGTATCAATCTAGCAGGAACTTCAGTTACCAAATTAAGTCGATCATTTATCATAAATTGTAAGATTCCCTGATCCAAAAGACTTTGGACTCGACGTTTGAAGGCAAGACAATTCTCGATGGTATGCCCTTGAGCTCCGACATGATATTCACAATGAACGTTGATGTCATACCAATTTGGATACGGAGGTTGAAATGGTTTTATGTAATATGGAGCCACTTCTCGTGCTTCAAGTAGCTTTTCATACAACTCTTTATATGATATAGGGATATAGGTATAGCATCAACATGAGAACCGCTTTTTGTCTTGGATTGAACCTGAGTTTTCGACTTCGGGATCAAACTAAACTTTGATGATTTCAGATTACATGATTTCTTCTTATCTCTAGGAGCTTCTACAGTTGTCACCATTTCTTTGGTATTTCCGGACGATTTGTGAATACGAATGATGACTGTCTGTAACTTCTCCAATTGATTAGGATCAAAAGTCCCTTGCATATATGAAATTGCAAGATTATGTTCATTGATCTCTCTCTCTTTTTGTGCAGGAATCTCTTTTCCTTTAGCCAAAACATATATTCTTCCCATCATCTTAGACATCTGCTCTCTTTTTTCTCGTATCTCCTTTTGCTCTTCCATGGGCATACGATCTTTGGGCGCATAGCTCTCCTCTATCCTCGGAGTTCCCTCAAGATGTCTTTCCTTGGCCGCATCATATTTTGTTTGATCATAAAACTTTTTGTCCATTTATGATTTCTTTCCAATTTGATGAACAGTCTTTCAAGTCAACACCTTTTGGTTATGTCATGATCATGCAATGCAAATAAAAGAAATCAATATAAACAAGTTAGAGCAAAATAACATGCATGAGAAAAAATAAAATGGTTAGTACCAACTAATGGAAAGAAAAAAAATTCTATCTATCAAGGTATAAATCCTAACCTCATGCTTTCTAGTTCCATGCTTTGTTTGGAAAAATTAACCTAACTGCATGATTTCTAGTTCGCATGCATTTATTCAGGAAAAAGAAAAGAAAAGGAAATAAATTAAAAGCTATAGCTTATTTCTCATTTGTGTATACCTATGGACAGAGGTTCAGTATTATCTTAGATCAGGAGAATTTCTAGGGTTTATTATATGCAAGGTTTCAGTTCTAGGAGTAAAGGTACTCGAATTATCCTTGTTAGTGCCCCCTTGGGCTGCCAACCCTCGATCCTAGTCCACTACAGACTTCAGCAGATCGAGTTCAATTCGAGGGGACACATTTCCCTATGCCTGACACGGAGAATAAATTCTCACGAAGACATAGAGCATATGAACCCTGAAAGCTACTTGTTAGGTCTGACACGGAGAATAAATTCTCACAAAGACGTCGCTTTCACTCCCACTTAAAAGGGACAAATCTCAGTTATAGAGATTGTGTTTATGCAATGCAAGTGATGTGTGTGAGGAGAAATGTTCAAACCTTTGATAAACAAATAAATAATGAAATTTAATACTTGAAAATAACAATAAAAAATATAAAAAAAATAATATACATATAAATATTATGAAAATAATAAGTATATATAAAAAATTTTAAAAGAAATAATTATAAATTAAATATATGAATTTTTAATTCTTAATTAATAGAGACAATTTATAATTGATTTTAAAAGCTTGACCAGGGTCCCCAGCAGAGTCGCCAAGCTGTTGTAACCGGTTTTCGTCCGGGCACGAAATTTTACTTGGCGGGAAAAATAATGTGAATAAATGGTTTTTTTAAAATGTTTTGGGAGTCGCCATCGGCCTTTTGGGTCAGGTAGGTCGAATACCTAAAAATTATCCTTTAAAAGAGTTTTTTAAAAAAAACACCAGTTAAAAGATAAATTGGTCTGCGTTTTAACCAAAAATTCGTTCTTTTTAATAATTAAAAAGGATTCGTGGTCGATTACGTCTGGTGAAGGATTTCACCCCCACAACGCCCAAAATTAGTACTTTATTAATTATAAATTGTCTCTATTATTGGAAATATATTTAATTCATAATCCTGTTATTTCAAATTTATTACTATAATTTTAAGAAATTTTATTAATTTATATATACATATAAATAAGATATTTATTTAGAAATATCAGAAAAGGGCTTCTAGGTGCTTTAAGACAGATCTTTTCTTTGATATTAAAAAATAAATAAATATTAAAACATTTATCTAAAAATAATTAAAAATAGATTAATATATATAATTTAAAAAAGTAAAATATTTATTTATTTAAAAATATCAGAAAATGGACATCCAGTTGCTTTAATATTGTCCTTTCTTAATATTGAAAATAAATAAACATATTAAAATAATATTATTTTTATTTAAAAGTAATTTATAAAATTAGATTTATAAATAGAATTTTAATAGAAAAATAAATAAATAAATAAATAAATATGACTAAATAATAATAATAATAATAATTAAATATATTGAAAACATATTAAAATATATTTAAATAATAAATGAAATTAAAACTATAATATTGAAATATAAACAGTAATAAAACTGGTTTAAAATGAAAGTAGTGATTAAATTATAACATATAAAACTTAAATACCCTAATTAGTAATTAATAATTTAAAATTATAGGGGCTAAACATGCTATTTTACCTTATTATTAATTTAGTGACTAAAATAAACATAATTTAAATAATAAAATTTAAATGTAAAATAATAAAATTTAAAGACCTAATTCGAATTTAGCCTTAATTAATTATTTTGGGATTAAAATTAAATTTATTAAAAATTACAAGGACTAAATCTATTATTTATCCTAAAATATATAAATACTGGCAGGGACTAAATTATAAATTAATAAAGTTAGAAGACTGTATTAAAACTTATTTCAGTGACTAAATTAAGAACATTATAAACTTAGAAGGGCTACGGAAAGGGTTTTACACTTTATAAAATTACACACAGACCCCTCCCCCAAAACGACGTCATTCGGGGAGGGGTATTTAAGCCCAAAAATCGGCCTAAAATGGCCGGTCTCCCTCATTTCCTTGTTCTGAAGCTCTGCCTTCTCTCTACAAATTCCCTCGCCGGAGGGATCAGGCCACTGGCCGACCACCATGCTCCGGCTCCGATCCCCGCCGTCGGCCACCGTGAACTGTGGCTGGAGTTTGGAAAAATAGCCTAAATCGATCTTCTATTTCCCCTAAACCCAAATCTAGTTTCTTTTTCTCCTAAAACTCTTTCAATAGACGTGGATCTAAACAAAAACCAAAGGTTTACCTCGGTTTACCTTGGTTTACAAAAGTTTCCAGTGACGTTTGGTATCTCGGGGGTAAGTTCTTCTCTTCTCTGTTTTTATTTTCGATTGTTGATGTTTGTTGTTGGTTTCTTGGTTGTCGTTTTCTATTTTTGGGTTGCTCTCCGTCTCCTCTCGATTTTTCTGCTCTCTGTCTCCTCCCCTTCTTTTTCTCGCAGGTTTGGTAATGGCTTAATAGCCTTCACCGGTGTCTTCTTCTGACCGATCCCAAATGGTGACCCTAGGTGAGTCACCGGACTATGGTGGTGACTCACCATAGGGCAGTGATAAGGGTCTTCTGGAGTCTTTGATAGGGCGTGGCAGAAGCTGGAACGTCGGTGTGGCAGCGGAGGCGTCGGCAGTGGGGCGTTGGACCACCTGGCAGAGATGTGGCGGCTGAAGCTTGGAGCGGCGTCGTGGCCCTAGGGTGATGATACCCTAGGGTTCCATCTGGAACCTCCTGTGGACCGTTGGATCAAGGCCAGATCCAACGGCTGAAAAGAGCTGGCGGCTGACTGAGATGATACAAATCCTAAATTGGGTTTAGGGTTTAGCTGGGCCAGTTGGCTTCTATTTGGGCCATTCGGGTCTGGTGTAATTGGATCGGGTTTGTAAATGGGCCTCGGTTTACTGTTTGGGCTTTGTAATTATTTATAATTAATAATATAATAATTATAATAATACTAATATTTAGTAATAATAATAATAGTAATTTTAAAATAATAATTTAAGTAAAATGAAAAATTAGTGTTTACAAAATTAATGTCTACACATATCTTGCTTACTCAAAGTACAAGAGCAACATCATCCAAGAAAGCATCTTAATCATAAAATACTTTCCTCCAAACGAAAAGTAAGCTATGTTGAAAGGAATAGATTTAAGTATATTCATGTCAAACACATATTTACATTTGACTATCATCGAGCAAATTGCTAATTTTCATATAATTAAAACATAGAAATTGTTTTACCCTCTCGGACCTCTTTCATAAACAATTCCTCTGATAATCGAAGCTTCCGGAATAAGAGGAGACCTCTGAACAAGACCTCTAGCAGATCTATGTGATTTGCGACAAAATTTACTATAAAATGACTATATCTATTTAATTCTGTCAACCTACAAATAGTAATAATAATCTAAAGCTAAGGGTTACTATAAAATCCCTCGACTAATCAACGAAAACTGAAAAAGGGACTTCTTGAACTTTCTCTCACACTCTTCAAATTCTAAGCCAAATGATTTTGACCATATGTAATTCCACACTGAACTATCTATTGTAATTCCCCGTTAAAATCAGAAGGAAAATCGCCTGTTATACCCTGTTTAATTGATGTGAAGAAGCTGTATTGAGTATATTTCAGAAAGTCTTGGAATGAATGAAGTGTTGCAGTCAAATAAGAGTAATAAATATGGTTTGTGGTTCTGCAATTTCATGTACTTCACTGGTTAATTTCAAATCGTTTTTCCTTGCATTCTGGGAAACTAAACAGTTGGTCATTGATTGAAACATTAAACACTTGCATGTGCCTACCCAATTCTGACATACACAGAAACAAACACATCACGAGTTGCAATTTGCAAGGTGAATAAAGAAGAGAAAAAGAACTACCAAAGAGCCGAGAAATGAAGGCACCCAGTTTAACTGGCAACGTAGACACAAAGAGTGTAAGCAGAAACGTGGAACATCAAACAAAAATAAGGCGGCTTTATTTCATAAATTCTAGTGCTTGACTGCCATTGATACTCCAATTCTAGGAATACTATTATGGTCCCTTAAATCCACCTCCCCTGAAATGGAGACATAGAGCTTTCGCCAAATTTCCTGCTGAAGAACGCCACCGACTTTGCCATCGGTATTCATTCTGGCCTTCACCAATGTGAACGGCAACACCGCATGCTGCGCTCCGAGCGTAAGTGTGCTTGCCGCCTCTGACATCCTATGCTTCAACTCGGCTGCGATTGCCGTCCTCGTTCGGGGATTCAGCGGATGGTACAGCGATGCTTTTACGCTGTCGAAACCATCACTCCTGCATTGTCCACAAATGCTATGGTTTTCAAATACATATATTGTTGAACAGTATAAGTTCTATTCTCTCCTCTAGATTTCATACTAAATGCTCACACGGTCAAGGAAGCAACAAGGAAGGCGCAATCCAAGCTGAAACCGGCACTGAATTGGTCGAGTGCCCTTGTTGTTATGTCGATGCCCACATCAGCTCCCAGAGACACGAAAGTGCTTCCTATTACACCCGAGATGTTTGCAATCCGATCGAATCGGTTCTGAGTGTTTGCCTTCAGCCCTAAACCAGCACTGAACCCCACATAATCACGCAAGTATTGCAGTTCTGCCTGTTAGTACAATCACCATTTCGACAGTTTTATTGACGTTTATCATGCATCACATCGTTTAAGTTTCAGACGGCATGTAATCTCGAAAGATATCGAGTACATACCTTGCCAGAATCTGGAACAATAACGCTAAAAACTGTGTTCAGTCCAGGCAAAATATCTTCAACTGAAAAACCAATAAAAATCCGAGACTCAATGAAGATCAAAATTCTGGAAAACAAACATAATACACGAAAGAGTGAGGAAAATTACTTTGACAAGAGAAATTGAAACTCCAATCATAAATCTGGTAGCGACCCTGTAGTGGTTGGGGTTGTTGAGCTTGACCATAATCCTTGTACAGAACATCTAACAAAAAGATTCAGAATGCTAAGTATGAATGAACAACATCAAACAATTCTGAATCTGCATTCAACAATGTTATGGCCTTAACCTCTAGCTTTTCTGCCTATGGCATAGTATAAACCAGGATTCATGGTGCTCAACATGGTTTTATATATATATATATATATCTATATATATACACCTATAAATGTTCCAGGAAAACATATTGAGAATAAGAAGAATGTACCAACAGGGAAGCTTCCAAAGTAGTGACAAAGAAACAAGAGATCCATGCATATGAAGAAATTTCCAGGAACCAATCTTATTCATGGGGAAATTCAGGTTTATTTTATGCTTCATATACATATTTATGATATTAATACAACTTTCTGTCAAATCATTTCTGTCCACTCGGTTCAATCAAAAGTTCGACAAATGAAAACCCCAACAGAAAATGCAATAACAACAGAAACAACGGCCCCTTTATTTTTCATAAGGAAGTTGATTGCCATCTCTAATGGACCTTCACCTCCTTCCCATCTCTTCACCATCTCTTTGGGAAAGCTTGCAACTCGGCTAGCCTCCTTTCCGGTCGTCTCTCCTTTGGTGGCTTCATCGACCTCTTCGCCACTGTACCGCTGCTCATGATCTTCGTGTTTGCTTTGATTTCGATCACCTTGGTTCATGTCACCAGCGTGGTGTTCATCGCTTATCTTCTGCTCCTTGTCTTCTTCTTCCGCAACCGATAGCTTCGGCACCATAATGTGGAGAAAATCGCTATCGAATTTACCGTTGATCTTATCGGTATCCGAATTATCAGGCAAAGGAAAGCTTTGCTCGAAATACAAGGATTTGTTGTCATCAACTATTCTTTCTCCACTGATGATTATATGACCGGATGAAGCAAGCTCAAGCCTCAGCTGCTCCTCCTTAAAACCTTATTCAACATACCACAACACATGAATTAAACATCAATATACATATATGAAGGAAAGATGTTGGCAGTATTGATTTGTACCAGGAAGATCAACCAAGAGATAACTGGCCTTGTCGTCATGAGTCCAATCAGAGGAAGGCTCAAACTTCTGAGCTACACGGTTGCCGGAGTGTCTTTGATCACCGTCATCAGCCATTTGATATGTCAAGAATTAAGCAAATTGCTGCTTTCTTTTACTGATGACGCTAGTAAAACAATCAAGGTCTGCAATTCTGATCTGATCTATAAATGGTCTTTTTCCCCCCCTATAGGTAGGAGGATGAAGATGATCATTTGGTTCATAATTGATCATATATAGGTATGTATGCTGGTATCTTACGTACAGCTCTTGTTTCTTGCGAGCCTGTACGTGTTTATTCCTAGCTTCACCTATAAATCTGGACTTTGCTCTTCTTCATTGAATTTGATACCTTAGCTTCCTACACATTATATTCTTGCACCATCCAACAAGACATGTGTTCTATAAACTGTTCCAAAACATATAATTTTGAAATATGATTTTTAATACAAAATCCCAAAATTATCTAATTTCTTTTTCATACTCGAACACATTCGAATTAGCGTATTCTTATATGTTACTACAATAACGATATGAATTGAATTAAGAATCAATCGATATTCTAAATATATTTATTTAAACTAATTATATACATATATTATGTATTATATACATGATAATGATTCAAGTAGTAAGTTTGTAACTTTGAGACTAATTGATATTCTAAGAAATTGATTGTTAGATTTCATAATATGTACATATGTAAATGAATTGAAAATCTATAAATAACATGAAAAATCATATTAGATATAAATTTAACTAAATCAATCTTATAAAACACACATGTGGTTGAATTAATCAACAATTCTAATTATTTAATGGAAAATTTTAATTAAATAAACGAGATATAACACCATTATTGCGTATCAATAATATGACATATAAATATATATAATACTTCAGAGTTAAATTAAATGCACAAATAAATTATAAATATTATATATCTAATAAAAAAAGCGTTGGAACTGTGACGTCTGCAATCAGCCTCGCTGCTCACATGCTCTCAACTCAACCCCTGTTAAAGCTGCATTTAGATATGACCAGGGATGGTAAAAATTTCAAATTTTTTATATGATTTAGAGAATTTTTTTTTATTTTGTATTTATAATTTATTTTCTTCCTCCTAAACTGAATATTTATAAGTTAATTTTCTAACATAATATCTTACGTTCGACTTAGATATGATGTTCATGAGCACTATATAAAATAATACATGAAGATTGCGAATTGAATAATAGCAAAGGTTATGTTTACATGTAAATTTGTTCATTGATAAACAAGAAAGAAAGACTAACCTTGTTAATTGATAGTTTCCAAATTCTCAACTTTTGATTGCCAGGGAACCTCAAGTTGAAGCAACTTGGTGAACTGCATAATAGAGAAACCATTAAGGACCTGTTCCCACACCTACAAGACACAGACTATGGAACAAGGTCGAATCCTGTGTTACTCCGGCTCTTCATTTCTATATTCAGATACGAGCATGGATTCAAATCGCGGTTGCGATCGCATTTTCGGTCTCACAATTGCGGATATAGAAGACTCTATTGCGGTGATTGCGGTCATACAATAACGGTCGCAGAGGGTACCGCTACCGTTATATAGCGGATACTATCAAGGTTGCAGACCGCTATTTAAATATGAAAGTATGATAAACACAGGTTCGATATGCAAATCGTATGTTGGAGAGCATTCGATGATGCATGCATGTATAAAATTCGTGGGAACACACTTACCTGAGATGTCTTGAGTTCTACTTCATCCCATTCTAAAGAGGGATTGCTGCCTTCTACTATCCCTGTTCCAGCGTATATCAATGCTCCGAAATCCTACCAACTTAAACAGTCAAATATTTTGGTAACAGTATAAGTGCTTTCTTGCTACAGTTTAAAATGATTAACCTGAGTCACTACAAGTATAATAAGCTAATAATTTTGTTCGAGATCATTGGGATAGGAGAGCTTTGATGTGGAATCAGGTAAGATTTCATGTCGGGACATACGAACTTTGAGGAAGTTATATTGAAAATTTAGGGGTGCGATCCCATCCCAACACCCCTCGGTCCATCCTTATAAGAATAGTATGTTCACTCAAAAGTGAAGTATGTACTGATAGAGGTTATTGTTAAAACTATTAGCTCACCTTTTCCACTAATGCTGACCTTATACCAACTGCAAACTCACTTTCTCCTCCTCCGAACCAACCAACCGGTCCGGCATACATCCCTCGGTCAAACATTTCTGAAGGAAGCAAAGTTTAAGAAATCAGTACAGAAGCCACATAAAGGTACTGTAGTTTTCTAAAATACTGTTAACTGGTAGCCTATGTGCAATGCCTCCTCGTATGCCGAGACATATGCTATAGGACTTTTCATTCTCTCTAAAGTATTTGCATTCAACACTTACATATGACACATGGATTTGAGGTGACAATCCTCCAAATATATGAAAAACTTATAAAAATTCAGTATATCTGTGTCGGATGCATACCACATCCGACACTCATCCAAGTAACAAAACTGAAGAATAAAAGTAAAAAACATGCTATATACTATATAATATACTATATAAGGATACCAGTTTCTGAAATGAAAAGGCGTGCAGTTTCTGTCGGAAATCCACACACTGCTGGAGTTGGGTGGAGAAATGACAAAATTTCAAACTGCCAAGGAACATAGGAACAGAAAATTTATCTCAAAAGCAAAGCTATAGAGAAAATACCACCCAAATCTGACAAATTTATAGTTATATCCTGAGACTACTACAGTTAACAGCCCATTGAAAAGCAAGATCAGTTCTCATTATTTGACATATGAAATATTTATAATAGTATCACCTCATCATCTTCCCTTCTCAGGTTACCAGCCAACTGGGCGAATAAATGTTGAATTCTTCGAAGCTTTCGTACAGTTTTCTTTGGCTCAATGACAACTCTATCACATACAGACTACAAAGCAGAAAAGAGTAATATGATCACTTTTTTTTTTCCAGGAAAAAGCAGATGCTTTCATTCAAACTCTACGAGGTTAAAACTTGATATTCTTTATATTTTATAAACATATTTAAAAATTACATATGAAAAACCATTTAACTTGAGCTTTTTGGGAAACTTAACAGTAACATATATACAGAAAAGATGAAGTAAGATTTTAACACAAAAGATTGGAACATAGCCAACGTTATAGGACAGACAAGGCATCTGATATCATGAAGCATTCATTGTCGAATGTATCCCTGGTGATCAAAAAATAGTGTGTGAACTGCATGCATATGACACAACAATATCACATATTCAAATCGCCATATAGTAAGTATAATGGTTGAAGAAAACTGGTGGCTTCCCATGATGGCATCATTAGTCCATACCCTTTCATAACCCCACTCAAATGGTGGTAATGTTTTCATCTTTGACATTTGATGACATGTTTAAATGCAGCAGAAAGGATGCACGAAAGATTCGGAGAGTGCATCAACCTAAATGATTCTAGGGAAAAAATTGACTACATACAAATCCTAACTGTATGACAGTATTTTCTTCGCCAAGAATATCAAATAGACAATTTAAGATATCCGAACAAAACTTGCCTCTAGTTTGTTTTGTATGCTGTCTCGTACTATAATAAACTCCAGGTGGTCCTTGCGGCTACATGATTCATAAGAAAAACAGATTACAAAAGAACTCAAGTAATATAACATTGAACAAACGGAATTTTTAAGGTAAATAGTTGAGAGTAAGAAAAAGAACCTGGAAAGTAGATCATGCTCTATTTGAAGATCAAGAGTTCTGGATTCACCTCTAGCGCGGGTTCCTGCCAGTGCCTCGCTACTAATGCTTAGCCATTTTCTGTGAAATAGTTGCTCTGGCTATTCACAAAAGTTTGTATAAGTCAAAGCAAGAACAAAAACCTTAATGAAAGTTTCATCTTGAGACATTTTTTGATGCTCGAAGCAATTCAAAACAACCTAATTTTCCAGTTCTCTGCATCATTACTTCGTCTACAAGAAAGTTCCACACCAATACACTTCTGATCAAATACAGAAGGCAAAGAATAAAAATTCTGAACAGCAGTAACACCAGGCCCAAGAACTTCAAAACTGGTGCCAAACAATAGCATGGAATACGAGGACATTGTAAATTATGATCACTTATCACTTTGCAGAGGGTATAAACTATAAACAGTCTATCTGATACCATGAATAACAAGTATCATTTCAAAGTGAAATCGAAAACAGTATGTGCATTTTTAATAAAAATTATGCATGATATCTATTAACGACTGCACTGGAGAGGTGGAAAAGAGATTTTAAGTATTTGACATCTTACAAGCTTTCGTTCACCCATGTTTAAACTTCATCCATGGTCTCAAGACTATACCAATCAAAAACCAAGCACAATTCATATAAGAAGGAAAGGTATTGGACACATTTTTTTCATAGGGGAAAAGAAAAAGTGGTGATAGAAATAAAGAAAACCGTGGTAGAGTAGCAAAAGAGCTGTATGTTGCACAACAAAATCTGCTGTCACACTTACCGTATTTCCTACAAATGCTGGTCCATTTGGTGGCTGGAGACAAAACTGATAAGCATTTTCACCTTCAACCTGCAGTAAGAATATAGCTCAATGATGATTATCTTAACTTATTACAATTTACAGAAGAGAATGGAAGAAAAGAGTACCTGCAGACATGCCAACCACGCTATAGGATCGATATTTGTAGCAGTTAAAACCCTGCTGCTGCGGGCAAGCACAACCTAGTTTTTCATGTTAGAATGATTATCCGACAGCCTGATGAATAGAGAAGAAGAGTAGGACTAGTGGACTACGGTTTAGGGATTAAAAATACCTTAGTGAGCGGTGAGCTGTTTGAGTTTATTTTCTGCAAAGCTCTCTTTACAGCAATATCCCAATGTGTCTTATTCGGAATATGATTGTTTCTGAGGATGAATTCTCCGGAAGCTTCTTTCTTCAACTTTACAACAACTAAAGCAATCTTCATAAATGGAAATTTTAGTTAATTGTATAGTACTAAACAAATCAAGAGGCTATTATAGTTGTACATGATGAGTAGAATATATTCAGAACTTGGTGCACCTGCTGCATTGTGGCTTCAAGTGAATCAATGGCCTCGTCCCACGTCCACAAAAGGGCATCGTCCCATGCAATCGTTACGGCGAGCATCGAACTTCCTTCAAGCTCATCAAACTCCACCTGTCATTTGGTATCTAGCAGCAGGTTGTTTAAATACTAAAGAGAGAAAATAAAGGTAACTGAATCATTCCTCAAAAAAGTACTTGGTCAACAAAAACAAAGCTCTCTACCTGAGGAACCATGAAGTAAAATGAACCAAATGCCTTCCACTCAGGTGATATCTCGGCCCTTGCATCAAAACGAATTGCTCCATACGCACGAATCAAAGGGCATTTTGAAGACAAAAATCTTCAACCCAGCGAAAACGAAGATGTCAGAATTCCACCAGAACAATACAACTAAATTCCAAATTTTGCTTTGACCAGAAAATTAAACACAAGTAATAATGAAGTTTCTACATATATATTTACCAATGTTCAAATTCTTCTGCGTATCTTGTGAATTAAGTCTGTACTGTAATTTAGTCATACTTCTGAAAACCGAAATTTCAGCCTTGACTCAAATAATAACCCTTAAATCTATTAAATCAAATTATACTATTTGTCTATGATTTATATTTAGCATAAAAGAATAATGGCAGAATTTGACATATAATAATTTACCTCTTGATAGACCTCCAATCGTGATATGAGAAAGGATGAAGTTGTTGGAAGAAGACGGCGGATCCGACACCGGCAACACCGACAAGATTACGGTTAGAAGAGGAGTGCCCATTTCCATTGGTGATGTCCATCAAGAGATTGGATCCATTTCCATGGGCTCTGCTTCTTCTACCAGAGAAGAAGCAACGTGGAAGAATCTGGTCTTGAGCATGGAGCCACTCTATTGCTTCAATTTGTTGCTGTATGGGTACCTTAAATTAACAAATTTACCAATTTCAACCCGGTCGTGAGCTGTTATTTGCGCGGGAAGAATGATTCCTCCGACGGATTTTCATAATCGTTTTCTAACGGTAGGATTTAGAATTTAAAATTTTAGGGTAAAGTGCACAAATGATCTCTTGACTATAGGGGATGCTTTTTTGAGTCCAAAAACAATTAAAACTTACAAAATGATCCCTTGACTATAATGCATTATTATGTTGAGTCCTCTGACTATTCATATGTTCTAAACTGATAATTTTTCGTTAAAAATTGGTGGCCATCTGAGCTTGACGTAACCTCTTGATTGAGATATGATAAAATATGATCTTAGAACCATTTGAGTTGTATTTTTTAGATCGACTCTTCATTCACATTATGTCCTAGAGTCGGTGCTTGAAATATTATGTCATCGGACTAATGCTTAATAGCAACAATGGTGCTAGTATACATCATTAAAATATAATTTTATTATATCTCAGTTAGTACGTTAATGTTCAACTCAGACAATCGTCAAGTTTTTAATGGAAAAAGACGAGCTTGGAACAATTGAATAATTAGGTGACCATTTTGTAACTTCGAATAATCGAGTGACTCAATGAAACAACATCCTATAACCAAAGGATAATTTTATAACTTTTATAATAGAAGGACTCATTAAAATAATATCCCAATTAGAGAATTATTGTATACTTTACTTAAATTTTAATACGAGTTTTAGTTAAGTTATTCCAAAAGGTTACATTAAATAATTATTAAATTAATTGATTTAAGAATATTTGTCCACTTTTTTAATCTCCTCACCTGTAATTACCCCACATGTGTTGGTGTGTTACAATTATATATATATATATATTAAAATCAAGAATATTATACGTATTAATCATAAAAATCTATTAAACTAATTTTAAAAATAATATATAATAAGTTATTAACTTTTATATTGTTGGTTGAATTGATGTTTGATTAACTCGTAGATGCATCAACTTTGATCCTAAATAGTTAAATTTATTGATTTTTTAGAATTAGAATTAAATTGATATAATATATACATCGACTAAATTTATTATGTAAATAAAAAATTATATAAAATAGATAGAAAACATTAAAGACGTGATTAGTTATTCTTATTAGCCCACTTTCAAAATTGAAAAGGACTGAATTGTTATTTCTTCAAAAGAGACCAGTTTACCTCATTTTAAAATTAAAAGGACTTAAAAGTGAAATTTTCAAATTCTTTTGCAAATTGAGGCAAAAAGATGTCATGCTATAGCTAAAAACACAAACGAAATGGAGGGATAAGGTATAGGGCAGAGAATGATTAACAAGCACCACAACTTGGGAGACAAACCCCACCACGTGGCAGCATCCCATTTCGCCATCCTCGTCAAGATGATATTTCAGATAAGAAACAAAAGCACCAAGCTTTTCTTTTGTTTTTCTTACAGCACACCTTAGATATATATATATATATATATTCAAAGAAAAGAAGAGAAGAAAGGTAAATGAGTTTACCTGGAGTCGAATAATGCCGGAGGTAAAAGCAGGGGGGTTGCATTTCAGCTCTCTAACGGCGGAGTTAAGGCTGTCCATGGCCATCGACGGAGATGGAACCGCCGCCAACGTGCGTGTCTCGATGCTGCCTAACGGGACCTTGGGGTCTCCTTCGCATCCGTTCATGGAGAGCGTGCATACCTGATATTTCTGCTCCATTTCCATACCAGTTTTTTTAAGTAAGAAATCATAAATATAATGAAAACTGGATATAACGAGTAGTAGAAAAGAAAGAAAGAATTACGTTATGGAGGGAATAAGTGTGATTGCTGCATTTGGTGGTGTCTGAATCGAAGAAACGAGTTAGGCAGTGCCTTGCTAATGCAGCAGCCATGGCTGTTTGAAGATAAAAGAAAGATAGAGAGAGTTGGGATTTTTGGCAGCCTCAAGGAGTATATATATATATATATATATAATAAATGTATAGGCTATGGAGAGAAAAAGGGAAAAGCTCCCATACTTGAAAGAATTTGAGCAGGACATAGAATTATGTAATTCCACCTTAGCTACGGTTCGAAAACGTATTTTTTGCACCCTAATGAATGATAATTTAAGATTAAATAATATTATTGTTTAAAATAAGGTTTAATGCCCAAATAAGTATTCAAATTACACTTTTGTGTGCTTATATTTTTTGGGTCATCCGGGTGCCTAATAACAAACGTTAGCATTTTAGGTGTTCATAACGTAACAACCGTTAAATAAAAATCGTTATCCATTCATTGTTTGACATGCGTCCCTGTTTTTATTTTTTTATTTTTTATAAATTTCTAATATATTAAAATGAAAATAAATAATACATTAATCTAAATAAAACTTACCATGATCCTCCCCTCCCCAATTGTATTTCTCACTCATTCTGTTGAAACTCTCCTCCTCTCACATTCTCTGTTAAAATCTCCTCCTTCACTGTTTTTACTGAAACGCTTCTCCTCCACTCTCACTCTCATCCTCATCTGTGTTTCCTGAATTGCCTCTTCTATCCTTTCACTCTCATACTCGTATGTTTATCCTGAAACTAGGATTTTGGATTTGTACGAATAGTTTATCTTCAAAATTGTGAAAGATGTCGACTGAATCTTCAAAATTTTGTCATAGTTTAAGGGTCGAGTATTGTTATTGCGGAATGAGGGATCCAATTTGCAGTTCAAATGTGTCTCGAAACAAAGGAAGGAGATTTTATGGTTGTTCGAAATTGAAAAAAGTAATTTTTTTGGATATGCTAATTGAGTGCGTAAGACCGTAACAATATCCGAAAATTCCCAAGATGAAGCATGTTTTTTATAGTCAAAAAGTCTTGCCAGGTAGTTATTAGTTTGCCTTGCTTAAGGACAAGCAATAATTCGAGTTTGGGGTATGTTAAGTGTATAAAGTACTAATTTTCCTATCCTTTTCCCATAGTTATTGTTAAATTCAAGTTCAATTTATTTGCATTATTGGTATTTCATGCACAATTACAAATTTGTCCTTCATTGCCGAGTTGATATTATATTTTACTAATTTCTGTGGAAAAGATGTTATGGTGTGTGTTATTTTGTGTAGGATAATAATGATTGGATAAATATACCTCATCTAAGTAAAGCACAAAGGATAAAACATAAAAGATTGGACTTCCACACAGAGTTTAAAGAGGATAAAAAGTCTTGTTCACAAAGAAATTTAAAGATAAGAGAAAATTAATAGTTCTTTTATTTGAATTAAAACTCTCCTCTAACAAGAATCAAAGGAACGGACGCATCTCCTATAAAAGAGAAGACGCACAAGAAGAGCGCATGCAAGAGAGGGAGAGAGATTCTTTAGCTAGTTAGCAAACTTTCTTGTTTTCTTTGTTTCCAATTTATGTTGAGAATTTTCTTCATCATGTTCTTTCTATACCTATCCATGAACTAAATCTATTTGGTTGGGGTTGTTGAGATTTTGTGGTTGTGAAAACTTTTGGAATAGTTTAAGTTCTTGATTTTCTTCTAATTCAAAGTTTGTTCATTGCGAGTTGGATAATATTCGACTCGTGCTCATTAAAAAATTATTTTGTTCGATTTGACTCGTCGCTCGTTAAAATTTTGATCAGCTCGTGCTCATTAAAAACTTGTTTCTCGATTTATGCTCGTTAAGTTTGTTACTCGTCTTGTTGCTCGTTAAGCTCACTAAAATTTTTATCTTATTTTTTTAACTGTAGGTGAAATCTATTAAAACTATATAAAACTTAATATAAACATAAATTGATAAATTCAACCAAAAAATTATCAAAAGAGTGTATGAAACAAATTGAAAATCTAACTCTGAAATAACAATCCACAAATACATTAAAATAATAATTATTAAATAATAATTAGTACTTTATTATTTATTAGAAAATTAATAGATTATTCATTTATCATCTATTAGTCGAATCTACTAAATTTTTATTAAAATAATTTAAGATAACTAGTAAAAAGTTATAAAACAAAATTTACGAATTGCTCGCGAACTTATCGAGTCGAGTTGGACTTTACTCGACTCTGCTCGTTAAAGTCTCGAGTTGAACTCGAGCTCGAGTCAAGTCAACCTGAATCAAACTTTTAGCAAGTTTCAACCAAATCGAGTTCAAAATGCTCAACTTATTAAATACCCCTAAACCCTAATCTCATTCAAGTAATCATTTCATTTTGCCTTGTGTTCTCCACCTTTGCTTTTAGGGCTTTACAAAACATCATAACTTTGATCCATTCTTTGCCCCTTTTTGCTGATTAAAAAGCAATCACTCTTGATCACAAGATTCCTCAAACACTCTGGATTATGATGGTCCAAACATGATCACATCAAGATATGTAGGTTGAAAAGAGGATAATAGGCCGTGACAAATGATTACAATGTGTGACAGTTAACGGACTACCATAGAATTGATGAACGCAAGGTCACGACATATAAAGCAAACTATGGTTATAGGGCAGCCCGGCTAGAATGCGAGATCGGTTCATGTCACCATGGGGAACATACAAGTTGATTAAAGAAGGGGTAAAAGAGAGACGGAACCAAAAAAGAAAAGAGCTAGACCTGTGCCGGCAATAATGCCGGTTGCTTATCCAGCAGAGAAACCTACCTTAAAGATGGTTATCCTCCCATAACCTTAATTAGTAACTTTACATAAGTTCTTAATCGCAAAGCAAGCAACAACTATATAACTAAAGGTCAGATGTGACTTCAGTTATCATCTTCTTCATCATCATCTTGATCATCGTCATCATCAGAGTCATCTTTTCCCTGTCAATGGAAACAAGATAAATGATAAAAAAAATTGGGTCCACAAGTCAGGTTCAATGGCAATTCTACTATTCCCCTTAAACGTGCTTGTCATTCCAACCTTAGGAAAGCTTGTGACCGAAATACATGTGTTCACTCAAATAACGATAAAATACATCAGATACTTCGAAATCACCACAAATTCCGATACTGCTACTCCAACTTCTTCCATGCTTATAGGATTATTAGAACCAATTATACCGATGACTACCTTAATGGTTTAATCACACATGCAAATTTAAAGTCCAGGTCCAGGTACAAGTACAACAAACCAAATTCATGCTGCAAGCTCTAGGAGTATATCTCACACAAATGTCACCTTCACAACCGCTCCAGCGAAAGAAAATGAGCATATACTTAGAACTAAAAGGATGCATCCTTTCCAACCATTTGAGAAACCCTAGTAAGGAAGCTCTATATTCACATTTTTGTTATTAGCAATTTATGACTCAATTGATGAATTCAAATTTTAACTACAAGCTAAACTCTAGTATGCATGTCCTACAAACATATCTACAATGAAAATAGACCAATCTACTCTCTCTTTATTGAAAAATAAACCAAAAATGTTAAAATAAAGACCACAAAACCTACAGCATGCCATTATCCTGAAAGAAAACATGCTAGAACAAATGGTACAGGAATATTATGCATAATTGAAAGAAAAAAGAAGGCAAAAGATGATGTACCTCTTCATCATCCTCAAATTCTTCTTCATCAGCATCCTGCATCAGGTTATGAAAAAAATTAAAGGAAGCATAAGATGATCTTAAATGGTATAAAACAAAACCAGGGGAAGAATCCAAAGGAAATGAAGTTACATTGTTGAAATATGTGAGGGGATTGGGCCATAAATCCTCCTTGATAATCTCTGCTACCTGTAGTGTTTATCAAGTGAAAGCTTAGGCCAGGCGCCAGCTCCTTAACAAAATGAGAAAAAAAAAAGGAAAACCTACATTCACACAGCACATGCATAGAGAGTTTACCTCATCATGAATTTCATCCATGTCATCTTTCTGCTGAGCATCAGAAAACCAGGTAAAGAAGCTGCATTCATGTTTAATAAATTTAGTATAATATAGAGATGGTGGTTAAGTGAAAGAGGCAAAATCAAATACAAGACAATGGCATAAATGACCCAAACTTTGCAGTACAGCAAATTCCTACCATGTTAGAAGTTTTAATGCAACTTAATAAACTAAAAGAAACATATAATTGCATACTATTTATAATCACAATACACAATAATACATAATGCATGTGTAATCTTAATTTGTCTGCACTAAAAAAGGAAAACTCTATCTGCCAAGGTTTAGCTCTACATAACAAAAGGAAGATGACTCATGAAATAACTAAGATTCTTATAAGATGCTAAGCTGAAGTTCAATAAAATCATTGAGAAAACAAAAATGAAGTGACTACATTACACAACAGAGAAATTAATCTCAGGTTTTATGTGACTAAAGTCCTCAGGCTGGGGAGAAATTTGATTGACAAATATGATAGCAAACCTTTCTTCAGCAAACTGTCGCTTGTTTCCTTTCTTCTCATGGTCAACTCCATTTGGCAAGCCCTTGACATTTAGAAAACTAATTTAACATGATAACCAAAAGGAAACAAATAACATGAGTAGACATGACGAGAAGAAACCCTTACCATGCCTTCTTTCCATTTGATTTTGGTAGCAGTAATCTTGGTTCCTTCATCAACGAAGGTAAAGGTCTTCGTAAGCTTCACATCTTCAAAGTATGGATTGGGATCAAAGTTCTGAAAAATATAACAAAAGTCAGTCAACAAATTGTGATGACTGATTAGACCATGATTAAATGTAAAATGCAACTTCAATTTCCTACAGAATAAGGTAAGAAAAGGAAAATAAATAAACTTACAAATGTAATGGAGTAGCCAGATTTCAAATCTTTAAAATCTTCCACTTCAAGTGAGCTAATATACTTAAATATCTATCAAGCAACAAAAGGTTGAAAATAAGAAGAATGAATAAATAAGAAAGAAATTACCTAGAATTACAGATCAGGAAAATCCATAACACTTCTTATAAATGAATGAATAAATAAATGGAACTAAAAATAAATTTTGCAAAGTAATATAAGTGCAGAACCAGTTTCAGTTTGAGAAA